ATCCATCAAGTAAAGATATATCGCAGTCTAATTGTAACCTTTGACCTTTGAAAAGCAGGATTCATCCTTTCTTTCTAGTCATAAATTTGTAATAAACATTGTGTTTAGTTTCAGCGGCTGTTAAGATAAGAGTTTTGAACTTTATGAAGGAAGTCATTCCCGTTCTTTATTATGTCTCATAAGTTGTTGCAGACATCTTTTGGAATGATTTCGTACAAAATTAAGGCACCAAAAAGGTTAAAAGCCTAAAGCGATGTTGTTGACAGATAATCCGACAGTTTCGACCAAAAAACAGCTTCAAGATTCTTTCTTTCTTTTTCTTCAGGGTTCTTTCAGGTTTATATTTTTGCTGCAAAATAGCAGAAGCTGTTCAGTGTTTCAATAAATATGGAACTGAAACATAAAGTAAAATTTTAATTAGAAAAATCTAAACCAGACCAGCAATCTTATTTGTCCAATTTAGTGACCAGAAGTTGTAATTTTAGAAGTAAGTTGAGCTTTGAACAGACGTGTGAGACTTCTAATAACATTTGTTTTGCAGTGTGTGACCAGTTGCTGGTGTGATAATGACTCACAGATGCAGAAAATACCACAATCATTAACATACCGTTGGTGTTTCCTGACAAAGACAAAGAGCTTTCTGTCTTCGCCTCTTTCTATGTGTGTTTTAATCAAATGTATAATTCATATGTGTTTAATCCTCCATCCAGACGAACCGGTCCCTGAACTTCCTGGACAACAGGAGCCCTCAGCATCCGTTCTTCCTGATGCTGTCTCCTCCGGCTCCTCACTCGCCCTGGACGGCGGCGCCGCAGTACCAGAAAGAGTTCGGCGACGTTAAAGCCCCTCGAGATGGGAGCTTTGACAAACCGGGGAAGGTTTGTCCAAGTTAATGTCAAACATTATTATGATAAATGATGATAAATGTCTTTTTTTAATGGTCTTTAGCAGTGAATCTCTGTTTGTGTTTCAGGACAAACACTGGCTGCTGCGTCAACCGATCAACCCCATGCCGAGCAGCACACTGGACTTCCTGGATAATGCTTACAGGAGAAGGTACGACTGCAAACGCTCTAATGAGATATTTCAGTTTGAACCAAACTAGAAGTTATGAAGGTTTAACGTCATCTTCTGGAGGGATGTTGGTTTGCTGCAAGTCCTGTAGTGGAGGAAGCATTGCCAGTATATAATTAGAGAAATGAGTCGACTTCTCAGTTGATTTATGAGCTCAGTAAACAGTTTCCTGATGAGTTTCTGGTCTCAGTCTCTAGTTTCAGTCTTCTTCCATATGATGTTCTTAGTAACTGATGGGGTTCCCATTTAGAGTTCAACAGACCATAAGCAGGGTATGCTCTAGGGCGGGCTTCACCTTGTGGACTTGACAGCTCATTCTCAGTGGAGTCGTCCAGCTCAACGCACCAAACTCAGATCAAACTGTCAAACAGTGCTGATCAGATATGGATCCAGATTCTGTTGTTGACTATTTCTCTCCTCAAATCTGTTCACAAACACATTTTACTGTTTATCTGGAATACCAGATCCTCTGTGAGCAGGCAAGCCGCCATTGTTTCCTCGTCCTAAAAAGTGTTAACTTTGCTTTGTGCTGCAGGTGGCAGACCCTGTTATCTGTGGATGACATGGTGGAGTTGCTGCTGAAAAAACTGGAAAGTATAAAAGAACTGGACAACACTTACATCTTCTACACCTCTGACAACGGCTACCACACAGGTCTGAAGTCCGTCCTCGGGTGGTTTAATACGGTGTGTTTCCTGTCTGTGTGCTGTTCTACGGTAATAACCTATCTGCTCTGTTACAGGTCAGTTCTCTCTACCCATCGATAAGAGGCAGCTGTATGAATTTGACATCCGGGTTCCACTCATGGTCCGCGGTCCTGGCATCAAACCAAACCAGACGCTGCAGGTCGCAAACAAACTGACACACACACACGTTTACTTACATCTGTTATAAAACGCAGAAATGTGGCTGTAATCTTGGTCTGTTTTTTAATTCTGGGTCTGTGTTGTTCGACTCCTTTAGGCTCCTGTGTTGAATATTGATCTGGCTCCCACCATACTGGACATATCTGGTGTCAACCTGTCTACTGTGAATGTGGATGGACAGTCTTTCCTCTCTCAGATGGTGAGATTTCTCTTTAAATGGACCTAAATATTCATTTTTTTCCCTCAATCTTAAACTAAACTAACTCAATATCTCTCTATTAGGCCCCTTCACTGCGTAACGGCACTGCACGGCCGTTTTTCCTTGTTGAATACACTGGGGAGGGACATCCAACAACAGATCCTGCTTGTCCCAAACTAGGTCCTGGACTGTCTGTAAGTATCTACTGCGAGAAAAGACCAACATCCTGATCCAGGCAGAGTTGGCTAATAGAACCGCTAGCTGTAAAGTAAAGCTATCAGTCCATCAGGAAACTGTAAATTACAGAAAGTTAATTAATTGGTAAAAAAAACAGTTCTTACATAATGTTGCTTTAAAACTAAATGTAACAATACCCCAACGTAGAAATACTAATAACAGTAGTTACAAGTAAAAGTCCTGCATTCAAAATTGTACGTAAGAGTCTAAACATATTAGCATCAAAATATACTTTAAAGTACCAAAAGTAGCAGTACTTGTTACCCAGAATGCCTCATGTCAGAATAATGTATATTATACTAATGGATTATAATTATTGATGAATTAATGTGTAATATGCTTTAATGCTGCAGGTGGTAAAAGTGTGTAAATGATCTAAATCTGCAAAGTGACTAAGTTACAATATTTTCTCTGAAATATATGTAGACAAATTTGAGCAATCACTGTGGTTTCCTGTAAGTTTCACCGATCATAGTCCCCCCCTGTAAAAAACTGAGCCATACGTCACCAAACTACTAACAATTTTACTCTTGCTAGGACAAGTTGACTTAAATTTTTAAAGAATGTAAATAAAAATCCCCCAAAAAACCCTTTTTTTTTTAATAAAAAAGAAATGCTTAAAACATCACAACATGCATCAGAGTTTCAGGCATTTTAGGCCTCAACAATCCCAAAAAAAGCCTGAAGGGAAATACTGAAGTGAAGCACAAGTACCTCAAAAATGCTCCTAATACATTTCACTACTTAATACATCTGCTTTGCTAAATGTCTTTACATGCAGCACATATCTGAATTATTACCCAACGTGTGGGTGTCTTCTGCATACAATATAAGCAAAATGATCTGTAGCACTAATAAGTGCTAAAAAATAATGACATAATTCTTAATTATCAGCACTAATTAAACACAATTTTCTGCAGCAATGTTTCCCAGACTGCGTGTGCGAAGACGCCTTCAACAACACCTACGCCTGCGTCCGGACCCTCGACGGTCAACAAAACCTTCAATACTGCGAGTTCGCAGACAGCGAGGTACGGCAGTAACGTGCGTTTGCTTTGTACTGGGTTGTACTGGTCTGTGGAGCTCAGCGTCTGTTCTTCTCCCTGCGTCCCTCAGTCGTTCGTGGAGGTGTACAACCTGACGTCAGACCCCCACCAGCTGGAGAACATCGTGAAGAAGGTGGATCCGACCATCCTGCAGGCGATGAACCAGCGGCTCATAAAGTTGCAGTCCTGTGCGGGCGACAGCTGCCGCGACACGAAGTGAAGGAGCTCCAAGAAGGTGCCAAACAGACCATGTAGTACTCCCATTGGAGTCTGAGTGTTTGGTCAACTTTTACCACAAGTATGATGATTCGAGAGGCGGTTCTTTATAACAATGTTTTCCTACTGTGAAATTTTGACGTCTCAGAAGGAAAAGTGCAAATAATCAGATTAATGATGGTTTAATGAATTCTATTTAGCTGCTTCAGTTTCAGGGTCCTGGTGTTGTGCTGTGCCGGCTCACTGTCACACTGTCATGGTTTACTGGGACACTTAAGTAGAACAGAGCCATCGTTAAAGGAAAAATTCGACATTTTGGGGAAATGCACTCACTTGCTTTATTGCCACTCGAGGGTTGACCGTATACCGGGACCCTTAACGCACATTCATGTATGTTCTTATGCAAACAGGTGTTTTTATCAAGACTGGGGACCATTAGTCAGACGCTTAGTGCAACATGGACGCCATTAACGCAGCATATTACAAAGGAGTAAGCTTCCTGGAGCTCTTTAGAAAAGGCTAACTGTTAACATGCCGACACTATTAGCATACCGACAAGTTCTGTCAAAAAACATTGCAAGCTTCACACTTGCAGCTATAAGATTAAATGTGTTTTATTATTTTAATAGTGGTAATGTTGAAACCGTGTAATCGTCCTGGAGCTCTTTAGAAAAGACAGACTTAATCTGCACACAAACAAAAGTGTAAAATACACGTATTCGCTTCCTTACTGAGCGTTAGATGAACAGATTGGTACCACGCTCATAAATGCTAAATGTGTAGATGGAGCCAGCAGCCGGTTAGCTTAGCTTAGCACAAAGACTGGAAACGGGGGGGAACAGCTAGCATGGCTCTGTGCTAAGGTAATAAAATTCGCCTCACAGCATCTCTAAAGCTCACTAAGTTTGATGTTGCTGGACAACTTGCTAATAAGCTTATTTCCCAAAATATCAAACTTTTCCTTTAATTTCATTAATAACACACTTGTGGTTTTCCTCCTGTGACAAGTCAAAATATCTGATGTGAAAAATATCTATTTTTTTCTGAGCTGTGCTCATATATCTCATACTTCTTAGTTTATTATATATTCTCTTAAGATACACTCTTTGCCCGGTTCATATTGTGCAGACAGGACTTCCTCTATCTATAAACTGCACTATACTTTAACTCTTCACAGGTTCGGGGTTCAATATGCACATTTAAACATTTTCACAGAAATAATTCCAGTATTTGTCGCATAGTTTTGTTCTGAAATGAAACACAACCAAAGATTCGCTGGTCCACTGTAGCTGTCTTTAATCCAAAACGCATGTTTGGGAGAGGTTCGACTGAAGGAATGATGATACCGACTTTCGTGTCTAGTCCGTTCATATAAAGCATCACAGCAGGCCTCTTAGCTTAGCTTAGCATAGAAGAAAACCGTTCGGAAAAAGGTGAGAGAAACAGGCCATCAATATCGTCATACCTTAATAACACACCCTGGACAGAGCCAGGTTACCTGTTTCCAGTCTTTATGCTAAGCTAAGCTAACCGGCTGCTGTCTCTATCTACATAGAGTGGCGTCAGTCTTCTCGCCTCTTTCTCGTCTCATTTCTTTTAGATGAACCTGTGTTTAGTACAGGTTATTATTAATGTTTTTTTGGACATAATGTACTTAGTGCCTCAGATTTAAAGGATGAAAAGCTTTTTAAAAAGGTTAATCCTGATGTTTATCACAATACTTTACATTACATTAAGTATTGACGATACCATTTGTAAAGAGCCTTTTTAAAGACGGGGGAAAAATTGCTGCGACACGTTTGAGTTGAGACATTTTAATTGTGAGAAAAAGGGAAAATTCACATGGTAACATTAGAAACGCTTTAATCATGTGTGCCTTGTATTTGCACTGACGAGCCTCATGTGCCTTTTTTAAATGTGAATGTATTTGCACTGTGATGAAATTGATTAAAAATAAATCAAAATAAGCATTTAAATGTGTTTGTCATGTGGATATTGTTGTACAATATCGTATCCTCCGTATGAGGAATGTGATTGTGATTTAGTCTTTTATTAATAGCAAGAAAATGAAGTTAACTTAAACATTACCGTATAAATACAGAATTAATTGTCTATATAATAATCTATATATAATTGTTGAAACTGATTACATGGAAAATTTAAGGTAACACAAACTCAGTTTTGTAAGTTAAAAATATTCTTTAGGTGGTTTTTAGTAGATATTTTGTTTTCACGCTGCAAATAAAAATGACAAAATGAAGTCAGTGTAACTTAAAATTACTAAAACTACTTGATGGATGTTTTTTTTTAACTCTCAAAATTGAGTGTGCTTTACAACCAGGAGTAAGCATTAATTATTGGTGTTTTTAGAGGTCAGTCTGTAATGAGGCAGAAAGGAAACACAGGGAAAGAGAGAGGGATGTGATGTGGTTCCAACCTTTTTCCTTCAGGGATCCCTTTTATATCTTTAATTAAACTCACTTAGTGACAATATTTTATGTTATTATATTCAGAAATAACAATAACAGTAAAAAACAGCTGATACGTATTTTAGGTACTTTTTATACAATTCTGTCTGTATTATATATTTATTTTAACATTTTCTCTTCACTTAAATGAACCAAATGCTGAGATATAGGTTTCCTGTGTATATTGTTTAAGTTTTCTTACAGCCCCTAAAATCAAAAGTGGCCTCGTGATGCCCCTGTGAAGCTTTGGTGACCCCTAATGGGGGCCCCGACCCTCAGGTTGGGAACCACTGTTTTACTGGACAGCGACGCAATTTTGCCTGGAATACTTTGCAGAAACTTTACACTAAAAAAATGTATATAAATCATAACAGAAGTTATCTCAGGACAAATGAAACAGGTCTAGACCGTACAAAAATTCTAAGGACATGTACCGCAAATGGAATCACGTTAACGGTAACAGAGGAACTATCTCGGAGGAACAGTGTGTTTCACGCAGACAGATTTATCGTAACACTCGTCAAATATCAGATAAAGTCGCCTGTGGACGTCTTACTGTGTAATTGTTTTGAGCTGTTTTTTTTACGCATTTTCCAGGTTTGTGCAAACTAGCTTAAGTTACAAATGCAATGACATTGGTTCATGCTATATACTTCCTCCTGTAATCATACACATTAAATTAAATACATGGTAGCATAAGATTTATTTAAACTCCTTTATTAAACTGAGTTTCCTGGTAAGGAGTTTGATCTGGTTTGACTGGTTTATTTATGAAACTCCCTCTGCTCTGAAAAAGAAAGTGACTCACACTGATTTAATTTTTACGTTTCATTAAACTTGAACTTTTCCACAGACAGAAACCGTGATGATAAAAGGATACACACAGTATATTAAACAGTGTTCTTACTGTATTTATTAAACAATTTCAGGCCTAATTTTACAATGACACACATATGATCTCCTTTCATTTTGAGGATTCATTTCTTAATAAATGTCCATTTTGGGGGTAACTGAAAGCAGAAAACAGCATCTCTGTGAGCAGGAATGGAGACAGAAAGGGAAATCTAACTGGCTTCACAGGTACTTGTACACCACTTTATAATCCAGGGTCTGGACAACGAGCTTGAAGGGGCATTTGTAGAAGTGCGACAGCATCGTCTCCGTATAGCCGATTAAGAAGTAAAACTTTTGCTGCGGTAGTTTCTGTATTAATAAAGCACACACTACGATCATGTTGCCGCGCCGTTTGATCACGATCTCGTTGGCCAGGCAGCTGTGGAAGGTCCCGAACACGAAGCGCCTTATGAACACGTCCTCTATGGTCCGTTCGGCTGCTCCCTCCTCCCCTTTGAGGTTACCTGGAAGAAACAGGAAGGACTTTGTGAATTATACAGAGACTAACGTTGACATTAGGGCTAAAAGGACGGATATTGTTACTGAATTAAAAAGATCCCCTCCAGGAACGTATACGAATAGTTTCTGATGTGTTTTTTCCACAATAAAAAAGTTTAATTTCCTCATTAAAATCCGTCAAAAGTCATCTCATCATTAAAAACTGGACCTTAAAATGAATTCTAATTTTCAATGAGCTCAGAGAAACTTTCCACTTCCAGCAGATGAATGTGAAAACAAGCTTCTGGTGTCAAACTGTGCACAGTGAAGCTCAAACATTCGACTGAAGGAACAAGAAGAACTAGAATAACCGCCTCGCGCTTGTATCCCTCCACCAACCAGTCAGGTTCCAGTTTACATCCAGACTCATGTGTGAAGTGAAAACTTAAATAAAATGTGTATTTTTTGGGCTAATTGGACGTCATTACTATACTGATACATGATTCCAGTGACCCAGTTAAGTACACATGCACTTAATCACTCAGGGTTGCCGTTCAGAATCTTGTACAAAGTTAAAGTGTTAGTAAACTACGTATAATTAACATCATTATCAACCACAGCAACAAGAAATGTCATCATTGTGTTCACAGCTCTGGAGAAAAAAAGATCATAAAGTCTGAATTTCACTTTTCATTCGCTAAAACCGCTTTAAACTGTCGAGTTTCAAACTAAAATGCTCCTACAGGTTTACTTAGGCGGTCTGAGTTAAATATTATGTATTATCATATGTATTCTTGTAGATTAGAGCTGCACAAAGTTCACTGTAGTTAATGTAGTTTTATTTTTTGTGGGGTAAAAGTGTTCTGTAAATATCTTTCATCATCTGAGCATTCCACCATTAAGTTTCAGTTTTGGCCCTCGAAGTTCGAGAAACTTCAAACCACTAGAGTCGCTGCACACACAAACACTGTGGTTAAATACGTGAGGTGGGGGGCGTGTTGTAACTCACTGGTGTGCTGCGACAGCCATCCTTTGCGGTGAGCAATGTAATGAGGTGGAAGTGCTTCCTCGTAGGTCAAAGGAGTGTCTCCTTTCCCCACTCGAGGACGAGCTGCTTTATTCTGGAAAACAAAACAGAGAGAAAGAGAAACAAACGTCTTTAATTTCATCGTTTAGAAGGTGTAAACAGATAACGAGGCATTGAGTCATTACTCGTGCAAATCTCAAACCTCAAGAGCTCCTAACGTTATTATTTCTCTACATTTTGACCATGAAAGACTTGGACTGAATGAACTTCTGGATCCACGTTCTTCACACATATTTTATCATTATCCTTAAATATCAGAAAACACTGCTATCAAAGTGTGTATATAATGTGCATTAGTTGGTTTGTTCTGTCCATCCTGGGAGAGGGATTCTTTTAAGTTTCTTCCATTTTTCCACCATTAAAAGGGTTTTTTTCTGACCTGAATCCAGATTGTAAAGCCCCCTGAGGCAGAATGTAATTGATATGCAGCTCTCTGGTCCTGGCGTGCAGCCTGGGTATATTTATATACTTGATACAATAATATAAAGTTCATTCATTCATCCCAAATATTAAAGGGATTCTGTACTAATCAGATTGTAACTTTGGGAGATACCTGCTTGAATTATCTAACTAATATAGACATGAGCTTCAGATAAACTTTGAACATTGAAAGAGCAGTAAGAAATTCAATAAATGTCCAATATGAACAAGAGGAACGATTACAGCAGGCAGACCTTGAATAATGTGGATTTATCCTTTAAGTACCTTTGATACAGCAGTTTAAAGAGGGTCAACACCCATATTACAACAGCCTGATGGTTAACTTTGATGGTTTACCTTGCAGCACACTGCAGTGACGTGGAGGGATCGGCACAATGAGCCGGACCTGGTTAAAGCGCTCTGCAGAGAAAACAGAGGACACAGATTAACACACTACCAACTGTAAATGCTGAATATTTAAAATGCATTTCTTTTTGCATTTTAAATGTTTTTAGATGTTTAAAAGAGAAAATACACACATTTCAGTATTTTGATTAAATAATCCCAAAAATTACATCATTTTAATTTGTAATCCGGTAGATTATGTTACTAATTACATCTCAAAACTATTAAAAATGCAAATAAAATTCATTTTTGAGAGGTAATCAAAAATGTAACTATAATCCAAATGTAATCTGGGTTGATTATAGTTACTTATTTTGCTAATCTGATTACATCATTACATGTAATCAGTTACTAGTTTAATACTCTTCTTATAGAGAGATCCTCAATTAAAATGTAGTTTTAAGGCCTTTATTTTAGTATTGTGCTCAGATTAAACATCAAACTAACACAGATTACTTCTGCCATAGTGGTTTAATATGAGAGCAGTTAACCAGATAACTGATAACTAAGAATTATTGATCTGATTGATTAAAAGATAATAGATATTAAACATGATCAAACATTCAGATGTGACACTGAAGCTACTGACAGGTTAAACTGTAACCTGCTACATTAAAACCCTCTCAATCTGTGCAGCTGAATTAACAAAAGGACGCCGATATCTGCAATGTGAACACGTTTTTACAGAAATGTGTAAAAATAATTTAAATATAATTAAACTCACCAGCAGCCTCACGCTGCTCAAGGACACCGCCATGTTAAAACGTCCAAAGATAATAAAGCTAAAAGAGAGGAAACTACTTTCTCTTATTTATGTTTTATTACAGTGTCGGTATAGTTTTAGCACATAATTAAATCTGAAACACTGCAGATGATTTTAAAGTCGTGTTAAAACGATAAACTTGTTATTTATCTGAACTGTTTAGTCGACCGTTTCCTACCGGACGACTTTTGAACTGTACCCACCGGATACAGACAAAATAAATATCTTAAAGAAAGGGTAGCTTTCGATAAATTGATTATACTCATTATTAGTGTTTTTAATTTATATATAACACAATATTATATCTTTATAGTCGCATTTTTTGTTTTTTTATGCGATTGATTTAGTCAAAATGTACGTGTTTGTAAACGTTGTGCACTTATTGTGAAACCCCGGGACCGGAAGTGTCACTATAGTTGTGGCACGGGTGGGGGGAAACCCGAGGCGCACGGAGAAAGAGAGAGAGAGAGAGATCCACTTATTTATAAACTTGTTGTTGTTTATCTCCCGCGGGGGTTGTTTGTTGTCGTCTCAAACTGTCGGTTGGGAGCCGTTAACGGTTCGCGGACACGGTGAGACGTTGAAAGGGGTCCGGGTCATGGCGTCGCCGCTGGAGATGACAGAGATGTACGACAACGCTCTGCTGGGAATCCTGCAGCACGTCGGGAACATCCAGGACTTTCTGCGGGTCTACTTCGGGTTCTTGTACCGCAAGACGGACTTTTACCGGCTGCTGTCGAGTCCCAACGAGAAGATGGGCTTCCCCCCCGGGGTGGCGGAGAAAATGGTGTTTCAGGTGAAGTTTAATGACGTGTTAAAGGTGTTTTGAGTTGCCGAGGGAACCTGGTGGAAGAGGTTAGGGGTTACACAGTCTGAGGGGGGGTTAAAGGTTAAAGGTGAACTGTGCCTGTGTGCTGAGGAGGGAGGGAGGGAGGGAGGTTGTTGTGATGTTTACAGGCAGAAGCGGAGGTGTTTCTGTTGTTTTGTCCACCCTGTTTGTGTCTGAGAGGTTGGGTCAAACAGCTGTGAAGGACAACAACAGGACATAAGTGCAAATACAGAGACAAAGGCTTAAATAAAGACATTAATATGTGTGGAAAGACATAAATAAATGCAGAAATAAACAATTAAATACATAGTGACATGTGAATAAACAAATAACTGCAGAAATAAACAAATAACTGCAGAAATACACAAATAGCCTTTTTTCGTTACAATAATGGATTTATTTTTTATTTATCTATTCAATTGTTAATTTATACTTATGTTATTGTTTGTCAGTTCAGTTCAAACTTTATATGTAACTTAGGAAGGGCATAGGAAACAGATGTTTATGTTTCCACAGATTAGTGAGAAGAAGAAGTTAAAGTAGAATAAATCACTAACCTGCAGTAACACAATAGAGTTCAGTTGAATCAACAGACAGTTTCTATTAGAGCTGCACAGTTAATATTCAAATCA